TATCTTCACTGAAGGACTTTTAGTCCTACCAGTTGCCTCTTTCCCACCTTCTGTCTGGCCTCCTGATCACCACCAGGTCCGGGTAGGTTTCCAGGCAGTTCCTGAAGGTAGCTGCCAATTTGCACATCCAATAGGAGGTCCTGTTTCTCCAGGCCAATGGCTCACATCAACTGGGACGACGAGGAGGTTTGCCTTCCCTGGGTAATGCTCTGTTGTCTCTCCATAGGGACAATCTGGCTGCATATAAGGTCCCTGGGACAGTGGACCAATCGGTTGTATGAGTACTTCAGTAACGAAAACCCTGATTGGCTGGCCAGAAATCAAAGGAAGAAGGGCTGGTTCCGGAAGTGGTTGCAGGTTTGCATTTTAAAATCAGTCTTCAGCAGGGTCATCTTTCCGTTGGGTGTTAACAGTTTTTACCAAGCCACTAGATGGGATAGCATCAGGTACTGAGTGGCGAGGGTGCTTTGCAGACCCTTGAAGGCTCCTTGCTGGGGCTTACCCAGCTAAAGGCAGCAGGACAATTCTGCAAGGAGCTTTAAGTTGGCCTTCCTTCAGTCTGTGGATGCAGAATATCATAGGCCCCATTTCTGTCAAGCTGCAGGTGGGGACAGAGTAAGGCAAGCCAGGTGCATGTAAAGCTGAGGAGGGGCCGTGGCTCAGTGGAAAAGCATCCACTTGGCATGCAGGAGGTCCCAGGTTCAATCTCCGGCATCTCCAGTTAAAAAGGACCAGGCAGTAGGTGATGTGAAAGACCTCCGCCTGAGACCCTGGAGAGCTGTAAAGAGGGGTTGTGGCTCAGCAGCTGAGCATCTGTTTGGCATGCAGAAGGTCCCAGGTTCAATCCCTGGCATCTCCAGTTAAAAAAGACCAGGCAGTAGGTGATGTGAAAGACCTCCGCCTGAGACCCTGGAGAGCTGTAAAGAGGGGTTGTGGCTCAGCAGCTGAGCATCTGTTTGGCATGCAGAAGGTCCCAGGTTCAATCCCTGGCATCTCCAGTTAAAAAAGACCAGGCAGTAGGTGATGTGAAAGACCTCCGCCTGAGACCCTGGAGAGCTGTAAAGAGGGGTTGTGGCTCAGCAGCTGAGCATCTGTTTGGCATGCAGAAGGTCCCAGGTTCAATCCCTGGCATCTCCAGTTAAAAAAGACCAGGCAGTAGGTGATGTGAAAGACCTCCGCCTGAGACCCTGGAGAGCTGTAAAGAGGGGTTGTGGCTCAGCAGCTGAGCATCTGTTTGGCATGCAGAAGGTCCCAGGTTCAATCCCTGGCATCTCCAGTTAAAAAAGACCAGGCAGTAGGTGATGTGAAAGACCTCCGCCTGAGACCCTGGAGAGCTGTAAAGAGGGGTTGTGGCTCAGCAGCTGAGCATCTGTTTGGCATGCAGAAGGTCCCAGGTTCAATCCCTGACATCATCTCCAGTTAAAAGGATGAACCAGCAGCTGATGTGAAAGACCTCTGCCAACTTCATGTGTGCACGTTTCCAAGCTGGTTACTGCTTGGGTCTTGCAGCTCACCTGGGCATATGCTTGGACTTCGTTTCAGAAATTTCTCCTGGGCTCCTCAGACCTGGATCTGCCTGTGGCCAGCAATGAGGATGAGATGATTGAGATCTTATCGTACACACCTACCAGAGGTCCCGGCTGGGGAACCGCAAGCGCCGGTATTGCTGGCCGGTGTGAAGAGGTGAGCACACAATCCAGAGAAGAAAGGTTGCGCTTTCCCTGGCAATTGAGCACACATTCAGCCCTTCGGATAAATACTTCCAGACAGAAGCCTTGAAAATCCCAGGGTTACGCACTCCCTGCTTCCTTGATTTATCAAAGGGACTGTTCAACAGGGCTTAGTTTCCTTTGACCATAGAAGGTGTGGGGTGTCCTTCAAACATCTGACGTAGCTGCAAATATACAAGCCGAACATAGCGAAGACAAAGGGGTACCCTGTTAGCAGGTAGCAAAACCACTGATTTATTTTCTTTATTTATTTATATTTATTTTTGCAGTTTTACCCCGCCCTCCCCGCGAATGGGCGCGTCAGGTTCTCTAAGAGTGGGTGGCTGCACTTCTCACCCCCGCCCGGCTGAGAAGCTGGCCCTTTGATTGGGCCGGCTAGGATCCTACGGACCCATTGTCTTTGGACATGAAGAGTTGTGCCTGGCCAGCCCGGGCAAGTCCGGGCATGTCAGGCTGAATACATTACAGAGTCCTTAATTCCCGCTGAGGAGATCCCAGCTGACCATTCCTGATGGATATCCAATAGGTACAAAAAGGAAACAAAGATTTTTCTCTCCCCTTAGAAGAACTGAAAGCTAAATATAATTTGAAGTTAAGGGCATAAATTATAGCATTTCTAGGAAGACTGAAAGCCTCATTTAGAATCTGTGACCAGAAAAAAATCCCAGACATCAGTTCTGTCAATAAATGGGGAAGAATCCGTATCTGGCCTTTCTGATGGGTTTCTCTCCCTCTGTTTCTCTCTGTGGCTGCCAAATATATATATTTTTTAAATAGAAGGAGCTCTTTTTGTCAGACCTGATCCTCGGGGAGTTTCAGAACAGAAGTGACTTTGAATCCTAGAGCATCGGCCCAACTTAGGCCTATTACACACACACAGCTTACTGCAGAGAATGCGACCTGTTAAGCCTTTAAACTAGACTCTGGATTCTGTGCCTGTCGTATTTATTCTGCAGCTACAGCCACACAAGTGCCATTTCAAACTGTTCTTTTTAAATTATTTTCCTCGTGGTTTTAATTTCATTATAAGTGGCACGAGACTAGCGATAAAATGATAATTTAAATCCATCATGTGCAAGAGAGTGCACAGTAACGCCTCCCTGCAAGTGCAACTTTGCACTGCCTTCTCCGGGATTGTTGTGCCCAAGGGGAGCCCATCGCTCCCTGCTGGCACAGCCCTGCGCTGCCTTCTCTTGGTCTAAACTTGGGCTGCAGGAGAAGCCAAGCCAGCCCAAAGATCAGGCTGGTATTTTTTTACGGGCATTTTCCGGTTTGGATAGATTGGGTTTCCAAAAAATCCCGGAATTTTTTCGGGTCTAATAGACCTGAACAACAAAAAAATACACTTTAAAAATAATTCATAGAATCACAGAATGTTAGCGTTGGAAGGGACCTTGCAGGTCATCTAGTCCAACCCCCTGCACTCTGCAGGAGTATACTGAAAGATAGCCCTACATACCTACAACATACCCGAAAGATGGTCGTCCAGCCTCTGCTTGAAAACATCCAGCGAAGGAGCATCCACCACCTCCCGAGGCAGACTGTTCCACTGCTCAACCACTCTGACAGTTAGGAAGTTTCTCCTGATATTTAGCCGGTAACGACTCCCTTGTAATTTCCACCCATTACTTGGGTGCATTAATTGCACACCCCTAGTCATTTCTCCCCCACCACCACCCAGTGATCTGAGACTAGCGATACTCTCATGCCGCTAGACTCATGCCGCTTGTAAAAAAAAAATTAAATGTAAAACAACCAGGGGAAAAGTAATCAATGGAGCTTGCACACCAATGAATGGTGGGAAGTACAGAAAGGAATGATCTAGATGCGGTCAGGGGCGTGACCTCGGAGGGGCTGCAAAGGGGCAGGGGGGAATCCAAGGGAATCTGTGCACTTTTGAATCACTTTCAGCTTGGATGTGAAACAAGGGGAAAATCAGCACAAAACCACCCTCAGAAAACCTGGGGAAACAGCGACCGGAAAGCAAACTGAGCACCGCATGGGAGCAGGGGGAGTCAATGCAGAATGAAAAAGAAAACCCTATGGAGATGCATGGCAAAAGCAAAGGGAAACACGCGTGCGCAATAGGCCTGCAGGAATCCTGTAGTGTATTCAGAAGTTGTCACTTCTGTTCTTTGCTGGAAGTAATGCCATGCATCCGTGTGATGCTGGCACGCACACCCCCTCCCTGTTTCCCCCCCATTCCCCACCACCACCTGTGAAGCGCTGGTGGGAAATAGGGAGCATCAAGAAATCTGGCTCCCTTACCCCAGCCAGGCCCCTTTCACCTTGGGAAACCGGCATGGAGGGGAGGCACAATCCACTTCTTCTGGTGCACCAAGGTCCTGACCTGTATCAGACCCGCCTGTGCCTGGGAATTAAATTGTCAGCATGTCACTAGTGTCCGATTGCACGTACCTGGGGTGGGAATGTAGTGAGGTCCTTAGAGTTCATGAACCACAGCACGGGAAAGTCTATATAGGACTAAAGGGGAGATTTCACCTGCATCCCCGTTTGAGTGCAGATGTATTAGTACATCCAGATATTCATATGAGAAGCAAAATGGCCCTTTCCTCTTCACCACAACGCTCGGTGGATGGAAACTCAGATCAAATACCAACTGTAAGCGCAGATACATATATCACAATGCCATCTATTAACTTGTCATCAGGATCTTCCATATCTACCATATCATTGTCACTTTCTTGTGCCTTTCCAATTATTCTAAGATTGCTATGATAGTAACGTATAATAAATCCAGATATATTTTAGAAGGACCTCAGTAGCATTTTATGAGAGTACTCAGACCATTAAAAAATTCTCATAGTTGTAGCCATTCTGTTGGGACCACTTAGTGACGGGACAAAGTAGCAGATAAATACGAGTCCCCACACACAAGGGTATGCGGGGTCCCGTTCCAGATTTATTAGAAAATGGTGTCCTCTCTGACAACAAACAAGGTAAACAGAATAATTAGCAAAAGGTCGGTGTGGCTGGATGTATTACCAGCACATACTGGACATTTTGAGGTTTTTTTTTAAAAAAATGATATGATGTCTCTATTCCTTACATGAGAGTTTTTGTGAAGGGCCAGGGTATAAATCCAATCTCCTCCTCCCCCTCCTCTTCTTGCAACAGGTTTCTGGCAAGCCGGATGACAATTGGCAACGCTGCAACGTCAAGGTAAGATCTATGGCTGCTCTTCGACATTTAGCTAGCAATGTGCCAGGTGCTGTACAAAGCATGGGGAGATTTCTACCCCCAGAAAATGGGGGAGGAGATGGGAGGCAAACAAGGAGCAAGAGTGAGTTCAGGGTCTGTCCAGGAGCTCTGGAGAGGCATAAAGGCCGAGGCGGGTGTGGCTCAGGGGAAGCTTTGCCCAGAAGTGAGGTTTGTCGTTCAAAGAGTGGTCCCTAATTGGTTGGGATCTTGCTCTGAAGAGAGGCTTCGAGGGGGGAAAGAGCAGCAGATTGCAATGGCTGTGAGACAGGGGTAAGACATCGGGAAGCAGAAGATTTCTTCCTGTTCTAGACCCTCTCCTCTTTCTCTGGAATGGCGGTTTTCCACCGAAAACGAAAGTTCACAGAAAATTAGGGCCCAGAGCACTCGGACTTTGCTTGACCTCAAAGTCTGTGGCAGTTCATTCCTTTCCACTGTTCTTTCAGCTTATTGCCCTGGAATCCTGTAGTGTATTCAACTGCATGTATGTAAACTCACACATTCATACACCATGTGGAGCTTCGTCCTGGGCAAGGATCCTATTCCCTCCAATCCCATTGGTAGCCCAGGAAGAACCACCCAATCACCTACCATCCAGTTCCGTGAGAGGGAACGCTTGTGATTGGACTTTATTGTTACAACCTGATTGGTTGTTATTGTATAATAGGGCGTGGCTATATTAGCCGGGAGCGTTTAAAAGAAGAACGGCTTCAATGCTAAAGCTGTTCCGGCTATCCGAGTTGATCTGTTGGAGTTGTGTTAGGAGTTGCTGAATAAAGCTGATCTTTTGCTGAATCACTCTCTGACTCCTTTGTTAAGTAGCCGACTTAACAAATACCCACAGACAGGAACCAGGGAGCTAATGCTGCTAACCAAGACTGCTATTTGAGCACAACCGGTGTGTGTGTACATTTCGTAGTGTTTGCTCTGTGAAAGTAGACTTTCTTTTCTGTGCTAAACCAGGGCACCGGAAAGACCAAAAGTTAGCCAGTGGGCCTTGGTTTATCCTTGCAGCATCTCCGAGGATGAATCGTGATAGAACAAAGGTAAAGAACAGAAGCAAATCTCCCTTGCGCAGGCTTGGGAAGCAGCACTTTCTTTCCTTCTCTCTCCCAAGTGCTACATTGATGGTCCTTACGGGACTCCCACGCGGAGAATCTTCACTTCGGAACATGCAGTGCTGATCGGGGCAGGAATAGGGATCACCCCATTTGCATCCATTTTGCAAAGCATCATGTACAGGTGGGTCGGTCTGCCTGGCAATGCTCTCTCTAAGCTGTGGGGTCTTGTGAGCAAAAAGTTCCACTTTGTGAGCTACCGGCATTAAAGTTGTGAGCGAGGGATTTGACTGCTGCATACATTACTTTGCTCTGGAGCCCTCCTTCCTGAGCTAAGACCAAAATGTGTGAGCCGGAAGCTAAAAAACTGTGAGCTAGCTCACACTAACTCAGCTTAGAGGGAACACTGCTGCCTGGTCCATTTTGGTCCTGCCTTTCTTCAAGGAGCTCAGTCTGGCTTACTCCTCTGTTTTGTCCTCACAACACCCCTGTGAGGTAGGTTAGGCTGGGAACGTCTGACTGGCCCAAAGTCCCCCAGCGAGCTTTCATGGCAGAGGGGGGATTTGAACGCTGGCCTCCCAGCTACTAGTACAGCACCACTCCAGGGGTCCCCAACGTTTTAAAGTCTGTGGGCAGATTTGGAATTCTAACACAGCATGGTGGGTGCAGCAATAAAATGGCTGCCGCAGGAGGTGGGGCCAGCCACAAAATGGCTGCCGCAGCCTAATTTCAGCAGCACAGTGTAGCTCCTCGTGGTGTGCTGGCAGCTGCTGCCAAAGCAACATTTTTAAAAATCTGCACAGCCGAGCAAATCTCCAGTAGTCAATCAGGAGCCTTGCTGGGCAAAAGCCCCCGGGGCACCACGTCGGGGACGCCTGCGCAACACCTTTCTCAGCTGCAATTGGTTGCCTCTGAATCCTTGGGAAAGTTCTAACGGTGTGCCTTCCCCCCCCCCTTTCTCAAAACGGTTTTTAAAATGGGCCAGATTTTTATTTTTGTTTAAGCAACAGTGTAGTTGGACATTTACTTATCTCTTTTCCAGAAGAAGAAAAAAGGGAAAATCTTTTGAAGAACAAGTTTTTTTTAGATTTTGTATCTGCCACCAGCAACCACGTTAGATGGAGGATAGGGATGGATCCTTCCCTTCCTTGCCGGAGGCGCCCTGGAACATTTGGTCCTCTCCCCTCTTAGGTACCGTGCGAGACAGCAAGCCTCTCCCAGCCAGAGCGACACCCAGGGGGAGAGCCTTAGGAACGAGGAAATGAAGCTCCGGAAGGTGAGAAGGGGGCCTTTGGCTTTGGCTCGGTGGGGGTTCCCAGAGACGAAGGAAGGAGAAGGTGTGTCAAGCCCATGCGTCTTCTCTCCAGGTTGACTTTGTCTGGATCAATCGGGATCAGAAGTCCTTCGAGTGGTTTGTCAGCCTGTTGACCCAGCTGGAAGCGGATCAGGCCGAGAGTGACCCGGGAGGTAGGAGACCAAGACTTCTGGGTCCTTGCTCGGCTGGACCAAACAGAACAGACCCACCTCCGTCTTCCAAAACGCCTCCCTCCCTCCCTCCCTCCCCACGCTGTCCAGAGGCTTCCACTCCTCATAAGAGCTCTGCTGTCTGCGCCCCTGTAAGGATCGGAACTTACAGATCTCAAGGCTTTCATTAAGTGCGATCAACAGGGCTATTTTTGGGCAGGAACGCGCAGGAACGGAGTTCCGGCTGGCTCCCGAGTTGGCCACGCCCAGCAGGAACTCATTAGCATAATAGGCCACACCCAACACCAGAAACTCAATAGGATTGGCTACATTAGGGGTGTGTGGCCTAACATGCAAAGGAGTTCCTGCTACAAAAAAAGGCCCTGGGTTTTGACCACAAACAAGGTCAACAGAATAAGAAGCAAAAGGTGGGTGTGGCTGGATGACCACACTTCTGGTAACATGTGGGTGCGGCCTAATGTGCTAATGAGCTGTGCTGTCAGGGGTGTGGCCTACTATGCTAATGAGTTTCTGCTGTTGGGTGTGGCCTATTATGGTAATGAGTTCCTGCTGGGCTTTTTCTACAAAAAGAGCCCTGGCGATCAAGCTGTAAGTTTTTACAGGTTGGTTGCAGCCTGTTTGGGCCGAGCATTAATTGGAAGCACCTGGTGGACTTGACCAGGGCATAAGACGCTTTTATCTGGTTGTCAGCTAGCTATGCGGGGGAGGGGGGAGGGGGGCGGCGATACCGGAGGGTTTGTACATACATCGAGGCCTTGGTGACTGGTTGGGTGATTTCCCGGCAAAGGGAACCCTGCGGGTATTTGATGGCTCAGAGATTCAGCCTCTGCCCAGCATAAGTAGTTGGCGTTTGTTTGTTTTTTTGCCATTGTCGTGATTTGAGTGATTCCTGCATAGCAAAACGCTCTTTATTGCTTGAGTGGTTGAATAAAGGCAGAAGCGTTTTTTAATCTGCTGTGTCGGGAGTATTTGCTGAGCGTCTGCTTACATCTTCGAAGGGAACCCAGAAGCAAAAAGCCTAAAGGAAGGACCAGGACCCGGTGAGAACCCCAAGGCCCCCAGGTGGCTGTGAGTTCGGCGCCTGTAAACGGGAGAGGGACTGTCCTTGGTCCAACCTGCAGAGGGGAGGGGGATGTTACCAGAGACGGGGAGTTTGGGAGGCGGTGACACCCCATCTGTGGAACGCCCTCCCACTTGAGGCTCACCTGCTACCAATGTTCCCTCTTAGCTGTGGAGTCCTGTGAGCAAAAATTCTGTTTTGTGAGCTACTGGCATTAAAGTTGCGAGTGGCTGCCGCATAAATTAGTTTGCCCTGGAGCCATCCTTCCTGAGCCAGGACAAAAATGTGTGAGCTGGAGGCTAAAAAACTATGAGCTAGCTCACACTAACTCAGCTTAGAGGGAACACTGCCTGCTACCTGCTTTATCTTTCAGGCTCTCAGACAAAACATCCCTTTCCACGCGGCCTTTTATCTGAGGAGTGCCATCTTCTAAAATAGTTTTCACAGGTGGCTTCTAGCCTGTTTTATGAACATCATTTTAGGCTGCTAAATGTTTTATACTTTTTCCTCTTCGGACTAAGTCCCCCCCCCCCGGCTTGTGAATTTTAATGGTAATTTTCATGCTGCTTTTATGATTTGAATCATACTTTGAGCAGACCTATGGAGAGGCGACATACAAATTTGTCTAAATAAACGGGACTACCTAAAACTTAAAAATGAATAAACAAAAGGACCAGACAGCAGGATGGAATCATCTGCTAGAAAATAATCAGGCTGAATCCACATGGGGAAAAGGTCCCCGTGCAAAAGCACATTCCATGACAGTGCTTCACACAGCACTCTCAGCTGGCTCATGACCGGATGTCAGCTTCCTACCCCTGCTGCAATTAACCCGAGCTTCCAAAATTCTGCTTTCCTTCCAATGCGCAGGCCGCTTCCTGGAGATGCACTTGTACATGACCTCCGCGCTCAGCAAGAATGACGTGAAGGCCATCGGCCTCCAGATGGCGCTAGATCTGCTGGCCAAGAAGGAAAAGAGGGACTCCATCACCGGCCTTAAGACCAGAACCCAACCTGGACGCCCAGACTGGAACCAGGTAGGCCTCCAAAAGCAACAGGGGCCAACCCGGGCAGAGGCCAGCCTTGATGAAGGCCTCCCCGGGGCCCGTGTCTCAGAGACAGAGAGAGGCCAGTGGGATGTTGATAGTTGTTGGGGGCACCGACTTGTGGTGACGCCTCCCATGTGTTCCTGCCCAAGGCCCTCCTGACTGTCCCGCCAGTCAAAGAAGCTCATCCGGTGGGCGCATGAGAGAGGGCCTTTTTGGTGGCAGCCCCACAATTACGGACCGACCTCCCCAGGGAGGTGCGCCTGGCCCCCTCCTCACCGTCGATCTTCAGCAGTTGAAAACACTTTTATTTAGGACTACATCTGACTGATTTGGTTTTTATTTGCAGGGGTCATTTTGAGGGGGAACGACCCGGAATGGCGTTCCGGGAGTAACAAGTCCAGACATGCTTCCTTTTTTCTCTGAGTCTCTCTGCTTTTGCGGAGAAACTTGGGGAAGTGGGTTTTTTTAAATGCCTGCCCTTTGTCAGGGGGTGTGGCATATGCAAATGAGTTACGCAAATGAGCTCCTGCACCTCTTTTTCTACAAAATGACCCCTGTATTATCGGCAGTCCTAATTTGGAGTTTCTAAATTGACTTTTTATGGGTTTTGTCATTGTTGCTTTATTATGTTTTTGTAGTTTTTTTATTTATATTGTAAGCTGCCTTGAGTTCTGCAAGGGAGAAAGGCAGCTGGTTGACGATAATGATGGTGATGATAAGATCGAGCAGAATTTGGCAGTCCCCTGTGTGGTGCAGGGAGCTTCCACCAGAGTTTGTGAGAAGAGCGCATGCCTCCTTTCTCGGGGCTTTCTTCTGCGCCGCAGCTAAAGCCCCGTTGTCTTCTCTCTCTTTCACCACGGGGTGAAATGTGTTCTGTGGGATGGCTGAGGTTGCCTCCAGAAAAAGGAAGGGAAAGTTAGTGGGATGACACAGGATTGACATTGCTCTGGGCCACTTTGGATTGCAGTTCCGTGGCCACAAATTGTCACGGAATGGCCACAGGCAGCCCTCACAAGCTGTTACTTTGGCTGTGAAAAGGCCATTTTTGGGGCCCACAGGGATCAATGAGGCCAGCGTGGGGGAGCCTTGGGTTGGGGTGGGAAAGTCTGCAGTGTCTAGGTTGTGAATGCTCCAACATGTCTCAGAGATGGCCTGGAGACCAAGTCCTATGAGGAAAGGTTGAAGGAGCTGGGTCTGTTTAGCCTGGAGAGGAGACGACTGAGAGGTTGATATGATCGCCATCTTCGAGTACTTGAAGGGCTGTCATAGAGAGGATGGGGCGGGGTTGTTTTCTGTTCCCCCAGAAGGTGGGACCAGAACCAGCGGATTGAAATTGAATCAAAAGAATAAACATTAGGAAGAACATAAGCATATGGAGCAGAGGTCCATCAGTGGGTATTAGCCACAAGGTATAGATAGGGACTCTGGGGCAAGTGATGCTCTGTCATCTTGGTGCTTGGGGGGGTCAAAAGTGGGAGGGCTTCTAATGTCCTGGCCCCACTGGTGGACCTCCTGATGGCTCCTGGTATTTCTGGCCACTGTGTGACACAGAGTGTTGGACTGGATGGGCCTTTGGCCTGATCCAATATTGGCATCTCTTATGTTCTTAACTTCCTGACAGAGTGGTTCCTCCGTGGAACAGGCTTCCTCGGGAGGAGGCGGGCTCTCCTTCTTTGGAGGGTTTCAAGCAGAGGCTAGATGGCCCCATCCGACAGCAAGGCTGATTCTGTGAACTTAGATCAGGAGAAGGGAGGGCAGGAAGGGTTGCCTCAGTGCTCAGTTCTCGTGGCCCTTTCTGACACATCCAGGGGAATGCTGATCACCACTTTGGGGTCAGGAAGCAGTTGCTCTCCAGGCTACTTTGGCTGGGGATCCTGGAGGTTTTTTGCCATCTTCTGGGCGTGGAACAGCAGTCACTGGGGGTGTGTGGGGGGGAAGGTGTTTGTGAATTTCCTGCATTGTGCAGGGGGTTGGACTAGATGACCCTGGAGGTCCCTTCCAACTCTGTGATCCTGTGATCTCCTGGAAGGCCCATGGCAAAGTGAGTGACGCGCTTAGACAGGCCTGAGAAGCAGCCCTGCATTTCTGTTGCTTCCTCTCTCTCTGTTTTGCTTCCTGCTGTTTGACGCCAGATCTTTCAGAAACTGGCCCTGGAGAGAAGAGGGAAAGTCCACGTCTTCTTCTGCGGCTCTCCGGCTCTTGCCAAGGTCGTCAGAGCCCACTGTGAGCAGTTTGGCTTCAGATTCTTCAAAGAGCACTTCTAAGCACACACACACACACACACCCCACCAGTCCCCACTGCCCTTCCTCTGTGGAGGCGGCAAGCCTGCATGCGGCTCAGAGGCGTGACGCGGACGTGGCTCCATCCATCACATGGGCATTCTGTATCCTTTGCTGAAAGATCTTTGGGAGCAGTTTTTGTTTTCTTCTTCTCTGGATTCACTGTTGACAAGCACAGGATGACTCCGAGACCATGTTTTCAACAACGTCTAAGTCTAGGGGCACCTTTAAGACCAGTCTAGTGCGCGCGAAAGCTTTTATCCTCAGAATAAAACTTGGTTGTCTTAAAGGTGCCACCGGACTCAAACTTTGTTCGGCTGCTTCAGACCAGCCCAGTGACCCACCCGAATCTGTCACCATGTTTCCAAGATACCCTACGAAATAAACCTGAGACTTTATTTATGAATAGTTTTCTTTCATTGCTGTCTCACCCAGAGGATCTCACAGTGATAAATAAATCAAAAACCAACAAAATCAAATGACACGTATAAAATATCAAAATAGACAACTCAGCACCACCGCACTATTTATTTTTATTTTACTTTATTTATAATTTTATAAATTTATAATCAAATTTATACCCCACCCTCCCCGCAAAGCAGGCTCAACCCAGCTATCAACCCAGCCCAAGAACATCTGGTTAACCTCCAAAGGCCAACCTGAACAATTTGGCCTTGCAAGTCCTGCAGAAACTAAGCAAGCCTGGCAGGGCGCGAGGGCATTCCGCACAGTAGGGGCCAGAGGCCGGGGACCTGCAAGAGGCCCCACAAGGATAACCAAAGAGGGTGGGGCAGGGGTTGTAACAGACTAGCCGCTCCTGTAGATATGAGGACCGAGTTTTTCGTGCTAGTGTCACCCTTAAGAGCGTTGAGCTGGCTTTGGTGAATCCGGCCAGGCGGTGGCAGTGCGGCGCTATGACTCAAAAAGCAGCCCAGGAAGAACCAACGTCATCAAGCCAAGCCGAAGTGAATGCTGTCCGGAACACGTCTGAAGCCTTCAGCTGAACAAATCCCCGTCGGCTGCAAAATGTGTGCGATTTAAAGAATTATATCTTGTCCTCCCTTACCCCTATGAAATGGTTAGTCCCTTGTGTGAAACCTGTGTAATTGTAAATCGCCCAGAGCCAGCAGCTCTGCCGGACTGAGTGATCAATAAATCGAAAGGTATTATTATTATTATTATTATTATTATTATTATTATTATTATTATTATTACAGGAAGTGCCTACCAAGAGGCTTAAATTGGCAGGGGAGTGCTTTGTTCATGCCACCCCCACCCCCGTCCCCCACCTGAGTGCCGTTGGTGGAGGGGGTGTTAACTGGTGTGGTTAGTCCAGCTACCACTTGTTAGCAGAGTGCTTACACAAAGCTACAAATGCAGGAGCGTCACCTTACCAAGTCACTCAGCTTACAAAGCTACACAGAGCCACGTTCCAAATTCAGAAGAGAAATGCTTCTCTCTTTATTTGAGAAGTACACTTTGGACAGGAAAGAGCAGGGCCAGGACAGAGTACTAACTTACTAGCTACAGGATGGAAGCAGATGGCGAGAGGCCCATAAGCAGATGACGAGAGGCCCATCTGCCTCATGGTCCCAAGAGAGGACCGCATGTCTCTCTCTCTCTCGGTGCGTGCAGGGAGAGAGTTCGTCTTCATCTGAGAGGGGACGGAAGGAAGGGGGAACTGTCCCTGAGAACACAATCCGCATTTCCAAGGGGACAGGCAGAAGAGTAAAGACTGGAAGAAAGCTCAGTGTGCCTGTCTAGCTATCTAGACTCTCTTGCCACTCAGTCTGGAGGTCTCAGACAGGGACATCGCATCTGGGACTTCCAAGAAATGCTAAGCAGCTCCATCTCCCAGAGGAGTGTGGGCTTGTCTGTGCCTCTTTCGTGCCGCAGGATCTCTGTTGCTCCCCCCACAGGTCTTTCCTTCTCCCCTGCCTGCCCCCCCCCCACCGCTGTCTGCTTGTTGTTCCAGCCCCACCTACCTCTTGTCAGGTTTGGGCTGGGTTGAGGAACGGAGGCACACCCTCAGCAGGCCTACCCAGAAGAGACAGAGGCCAGTTTCTGCTTGTCCAGGGCCAAGAGCTGGAAAGGGGAGTGTCGGGACAGCCTCGCCTGCTCCAGAGCTTGGAAGATGAAAACCACTTCCTTCTTTTGCAGCGACTGAACAAAAGGTTCCCAGGCAGTGAGTCTGAGCACAACGTCTCTTTTGTGTAGGTCTGGCGGCGGCAATGATTTCTTGGCAAGTTAGCTTCACAGTAATGTTGCCTTCCAACCATCTCTGCCAGGCTTTTTTCTGGAGAGAGCTGGTGTAACTCAGTGGCCATTTTTTTGGACATATTTATTGCTTTACAACTGTTGATTTTACAACCAGTGTTCCCTCTAAGCTGAGTTAGCTCACAGTTTTTTAGCTTCCCTCACACGTTTTTATCTCAGCTCAGGAAGGGACGGCTCCAGAGCAAACTAATCTATGCAGCAGCCCAATGGCTCGCTCACAACTTTAATGCCGGTAGCTCACAAAGTAGAATTTTTGCTCACAGGACTCCACAGCTTATAACCTTAGCTTGTTATTTAGTTTTGTCTTCGCATATCTTAAAATGTCTTCATCATGTTACATGGTCAGGCCTCACCTGGAGTCCTGTGTCCAGTTTTGGGCACCACATTTTAGGAAGGATGTTGACAAGCTCGATCGTGTCCAGAAGAGGGCAACCAGGATGGCGAGAGGGTTGGAGTCCAAGTCTTATGAGGAAAGGCTGAAAGAGTTGGGTCTGTTTAGCCTGGGGAAGAGAAGACTTAGAGGGGACATGATTGCAGTCTTCAAGTGTCTGAAGGGCTGCCATGTAGAAGATGGAGCAGATCTATTCTCCCTTGCTCCGGATTGCAAGACTAGATCTAATGGGTGGAAATTACAAGGGAGTCGTTACCGGCTAAATATCAGGAGAAACTTCGTAACTGTACGAGTGGTTGAGCAGTGGAACAGACTTCCTCAGGAGGTGGTGGATGCTCCTTCGCTGGACGTTTTCAAGCGGAGGCTGGACCTTTTGGGTATGTTGTAGGGCTATCTTTTGGCTCTGCTCTTGCAGAGTGCGGAGGGTTGGATTAGATGCCCTGCAAGGTCCCTTCCAACTCTAACATTCTATGATCCTATGTTACATGTTAATTTGCTGTTCAGCCTCTGTCTATAAGTTTGAACCTTACCTTCCATTCCAGTGTATTTGATAAAGTGTGCCTGCACACAAAAGCTCATGCCTTGAATAAACCTTTGTTGGCCTTCAAGGTGTCCCCACTGGACTCTAAATCTGTTCTACTGCTTCAGGCCAAGGTGGCTAACCACCTGGATCTATCTTCAGCGGCCAGAAGCTCAGGATGGAAATCGAGAAGTTCTGGGCTCAGAGGTTGCCAGGAAGTCATTTAGTGGTCTTTGGTAAGCCACTGAGCCTCAGACAGTATCACTCGCCTACTTTATCGCAGTGTTGTGTGGGTGACAAGAATCTGAATTCCAGATTACTTACTGGGTCTCCTACAAGAAGACCGGAGGCCAGAGGAGGCTGTGGGGGTCCAAAGGGAGGTCCGGAAACAGGAGCCTCGCAATATTTTTCATTGGGTCCAGCCAGAATGACGCTACACAGGGTCAGAGTTCGAGTCTAGAGGCACCTTTAAGACCAACAAAGTTTTAAGGTATAAGCTTTCGTGTGCATGTGTAACCGCTCCAGTTCTCCAGAGTTTGCATGCATGAAGAGTATGTGAAAGACTTTCAACCTAATGAAATTCCTCTGAGTTGGGAAATTCCTGGAGTTATTGGGAAGGGGGAGCCCCTGTAGAGGGCAGGGTTTGGGCAGGACAGCGTGGCGCAATGCCATAGAGTCCACCTGACAAGGCAGCCATTTTCTCCAGGGGAACTGATCTTTGTAGTCTGAGGCAGTGCTTCCTCTAAGCTGTGGAGTCTTGTGAGCAAAAGTTCTGCTTTGTGAGCTCCTGGCATTACAGTTGTGAGCGAGCGATTTGGACACTGCAAAATTTAGTTTGCTCTGGAGCCCTCCTTCCTGAGCTAAGACAAAAATGTGTGAGCCGGAGGCTGAAAAACTGTGAGCTAGCTCACACTAACTCAGCTTAGAAGGAACACTGGTCTGAGGTGAGCTGTAATTCCAGGGGATCCCCAGGCCCCACCTGGAGGTTCTCAGCCCTGTAATGTTGAGTGTCATGGTAGAGCCAGGGAGGCAGGCAGACAGGGGGAGTCACACAATACAAGTCCAAAGGTCAGCCGGGAGAGCAGTCAGCAGAGCATTAAACAAGTCCCAAAACACCAGACAAAGCCGTAGTCAAACGTTACCAGAGGTCAGAGTACAGGGAGCAAAGCCAAGGGCGTGGTCAGGTTCAAAGCTGGAAGTCAGGAGCCAGAGCAGTCCAAACACAAGTCGAGTCCAAAAGCCACAGAGTCAAACAGGAATCAAGGTGCAGAGCTTCTGGTTCTACAAACGAACGAGATTGCCAGCACAAATTGCTCATGGCCAGAGCCCCTACTAAATAGTGCTCTGGCCCATTAGCACCTTTGTGCGAGGTCCTGGCTGCTGTTAAAACTCAGGACTCAAGGATCTCCGCCCTCTTGAACGTGCTTCTTTTCCTTGGCTAGCCAGCTCCTGACGTCTCTGATCCCTAAGCCTACTTACAGGTGGGGGAGATGCAGGTGGTGAGCTGCTTGTGGCCTGCTCAATCCCAGGTGCAAACCGTCCTGTAGTTGACTCAGATTGCTGTGTATCCTCCTCAGTACTTACAGTAGGTGCAGGTCCTGATGCTTCTTCAGCTCTTAAAGGCACTGAATCCTCCCCTCTTAGGCTGTCAGGAGCTGGCTCTGGGGCTGAGTCAAGGGCAGGCATGACATTGAGGATTAGGACAGTTCCGTCTCCGCAGCCTCTCCGTGTTACATATTAACCACGGACTGCATACGCGGTCGGGTTAGCACGTGGTCATGGACAAGGGCTAAGCTTCGCTCAAAAGACAATAGCCGGCTTGGATCTTAGAACAGACCAATCAGCCACCCCGGATCTGGGAGTGGACCTATAGCTGTTAGTACACTGTAAATA